TGGAAGGTCATTCTGGAGTTATGCAGCCTTATGCTTTGGAACTTCCTTTCCCTATGGGGAAGAGATCTTCTAAAAGACATGGGTTTTAAGTTGAACAGCGAATATTCCCCCACTTCTCAAAAAATTATGAAGAACATGGGATACCATCCCAATTATGGAATAGGGAAATATTTACAAGGAAGAAAGGATCCCGTTCAAACGCAACAAAGAAGTCCTAGGCAAGGTTTGGGTTTTTCCTAGGGGCCGCTGAGGAAGGAATTCCCATTACTTGGAAGAAAGAGGAGCCAGTGTGGGTTCCTCAGTGGCCACTGTCCTCTGAAAAGCTGAGTGCAGCCAAAGACCTTGTGGCTGAACAACTGTCATTGGGACACATTAAGCCATCAGTGTCCCCATGGAACACCCCTATTTTTGTGATTAAGAAAAGGTTTGGAAAATGGCGCCTGCTACATGACCTAAGAGCCATTAACAATCAGATGCAGATTATGGGCCCAGTACAACGTTGGTTGCCATTATTGTCTGCTTTGCCGGCATCCTGGCATATTATTGCGATTGATATAAGACATTGTTTTTTCTCTATTCCCCTTTGTGGCAGGGATAGTGAAAGATTTGCCTTCACCATTCCATTCCATCTTATAATCATGAAGAGCCTGATCAGAGTTTTGTTAATAGCCCCAATATGTGTCAACTTTATGTTGGGGAGGCTATTGGATCACTGAGAAAGGAATTTCCTACTTTATGATGTCTTTGTTATATGGATGACATATTATTGGCTGCTAAGGAAGAAAAAATGTTAGAGAAGGCCTATGTAAAATTAGTAAAGTTGCTTGAAAGAAAAAGGCTATTTATTGGCCCTTAAAAGGTTCAGAAAGAAAAAAATTGTAAAATTTTGTGGAACAAAGATTAGTGAGAACCGTATTATTCCACAAAAGGTAGAATTGAGGAAAGACATTTTGAAGACCCTAAATGATTTTCAAAAATTATTAGGAGATATAAATTGGATTAGGTGTTATTTGGAGCTACCGAATTATGAGCTGAAACCCCCCTAGAGAATTGACTTCTGAAGCAAGAAATGCCCTACAGAAGGTAGAGGAAAGATTACAAGGTGCCTTTCTACAGAGGTGTAAAGAAGGACAAGCCATCACTATGTGTATTCTTCCTACATATTATCAACCTACAGGCTTGCTTTGGCAAGAGGGGCGGCTGCTATGGATTACCCTGAAATATCTCCTGCTAAATCCATTGAGTATTATCCCACTGCGGTGGCAAAATTGGCCTTAAACGGGATCCAGCAATGCAATATTTTGGCATAGCCCCCAATATGATTGTGGTGCCTTATTCCAATCATCAAGTTAATATTCTTTGGCCACAATTGATGATTGGGCCATCCTGCAGTGTGGATTTGATGGAGATA